GCATCCATTATTTCAAATTCATAATTTTCTCACATTTTCCATACAGCCCAAAAATTGAAGTTATTGCTTGTCAGAAGTACTATTTTGCCCTGATAATGTTGGATGTTAGGAGGATTCCTTTATTTCAATTTAAACCTGCTTCTTTTTAATTACATGTACTTTTCTTTGTAAAAGAAATGCGATTCTTTTCATTTTCTGGTTACATTTTTGTATGTGCTTCTTTGCATTTTTGGTTACATTACAAACTAGATATGATCTTTCACAATTTGCCATTATTTCTATCATTTTTATCTCAGTATGTTGTAAAATAGTCTTAAAACCTTTAAAAACATTAAATGAAAACAAAAGATTCATAGCATGATTACAAATTGAAGGAAAATGTTTATCATGGAATTTCACAACTGATTCAATATTTTTCAGTTAGATTGTATACACTTGTCTCTTTTTATGGAAATATATTTTCTCCATCCTGCTTGTTCTGGAAAGGCATTTGGATTTGGCAGTACATCTGGAATTTCCTTAAAATAAAAAAAGTAGATACAAAATGTCAAAGGGTCAGTGAGCACAGATAGCCCAGGCTCATAACAAGAGTATCTATCATTTTTCCTTTAGTCAAAAGATGAGATGTAAAGTGGCAGTTTCATTGAGCAAAACTTTATCTTTGCTTTGCAGAAGAAGTCTGTTGTGAGAGTGCGAAAGAAAGTAAACAGTTTTAATGACCAAAGGAAGGTTTTATTGTAGATGTTAAGAATTGATGATTATAAAATAAACTCCTTTTGCTTAATCACTTTGTATTGTCCTTTACTTGATCTCACTGAATGTAATTAGGTAAGTTAATAAAACATATTATTCCCATTTTCCTGTTTAATCCATCCTTATTCCCAGTCCTTGGTCACTTTTTGTAACATAGGGCAGAGGAGAATTCTGTTGGAAGCTGATTGTGTACTTCAGGAATGACAACTTGGAATAGGTTAGCTTTAGACAGAATCAAAACTTTTTCATAACAATTTTGCCCCATTTCGATCAGGGTTTCCATGCATGAAAGTGGAAAATTTGTACTAACAAAGAGCTTCCCCTAAAAATTGCAGCTCCAGTCAATTATTGACAATCATTGAAACCTACAATCACTTCCAAGATGTGATTAATGTAAAATTTCTCTCCATAATTCCACTGCACCATTCAGTAAGTGGGTACAGTCCAACCTCGATTATCCCGACCTCAATTATCCGGACTATTGGATTATCTGGACTTTTTTCTCTGGTCCCAATTTTTCCATGAATATTAATTAGTTGTGATCTTGAAAATGCAAAGTCACAAAAAGCCTAATAATTATTTCAAAAGACTGTTGAAACAGCGTATTATCCTGTGCGCTTTTCAAATTTGAAAGTGCGACAAGACAAAGAAATATTCTGATGTGTTCAGCTGATATCGGATTGGCTCAATTGTTTTGTTGCCGAGGGAATTTCATGCTTGATTTAGTTCCTTCCACGTGGGTTATGTAAACACATGAGCAATTGATTGTAAACTCAAATCAAAAACATGTCTATGAAGCGGAAGCAAGCTGTTCTATCTATTAAAGATAACCAGATAATTATTTCACATTTGGATAAAAGAGGCAGCGCAATGGTTCAAAAAATGCTTCTCAGGGATGGAATCACACAATGATATTGCCCCTATGCAGTTAATGCAGCTAAGATGAATGATGGACTTTGCAATGCAATCAAGCTACAAGTCTTTGAAGCAAACAAACATGCTTGAACATTTTAGACCTTTGTAAATACCTGTGACAAGTGTTAGTGGAGACTTACTGAGACAAGTGAAAGAGGTACACTATGAGTTGCACATATACACAGTTCATCTGGTAGTAGTACATGCTTGGTTTCAGTATTGCGGCATACCTCCTATTAATCAGGTTCAAGGTTCCTACTGTAACTTACAGACCAAGCTTCTTCCACACGGATATAGGGCCCAAGCATGAAGCACATGGGCCATAAATCTGAGCGGAAAAAAACCAGGTTTTGTAACTTACAGCACAGACTGTACAATATTTATCATATCTCTAGGTTACCATCTGGTGACCAAAACAAACTTTTAAATTTAGCAGGCTGTACAGTAAATGTGTCCCGCCAAATTGACCAATCATAGCATATACACTGACTCATAAATATAATAAATATTAAAAGAACATTAGTGCCATTACACCAGTATTTAAAAGTAAAGACCAGGATGCACTGTGCATCGGTGAAACTGAAAATTAGTGATTGAATAAGAATTGAAAGGAACTGACAATTCTTTCCCTTTAATGTACTTGTTGGCAGAGAAATATGTATTTGCTCTTTGTAGAAGACAACAGTTGCTTACCTTACTAACTACAATGTATCTTGATGGATTCATCAATGGAGATATTCTAATAACGGGTTCCTTGTGAGGACTGGAATGTTGAAAATAAATACATTTTTTCTCTTAAAATAATATACATTATAAATCTTAAGGATACATCTAAAGGTCCACAATCAAAACAACTACAGAATTTTGTGTTGTAAAGTCAGTGTGTTGTTTCACAAAATCAAGAAAGCTTCTCTGTATATGATTAAAGTTTTTAACAAAAATTTAACATCTTTAAACCTTGTAATATTCCTGAGTTCTCGCCATTGAGGAACCTGTGAAAATCAAGAAAGGCAAAGAAAAAGTTAAGGGCTAAACTGAAATTTTGGAAACAGAAGCTTTTGTTATACCAGTAATTTTTAGTGGCTATTTTTTCCTATCTGCGGCAAAAGAAACACTTATAACTGAAAAAGAACTTTATTGCACATCATAGTAGAGAAAGTTTAACAGACAAGTTTGAGTTAATGACTGAAAAAATGGATTCAAATCCAGGGAAAATTGCATTTTGTTTGAGATGGAGCAAACTTTTGGTAAAATGAGTTAGATTAGTTTGCAGGATTCTACAGTATGTACACAGAAGAATAAAAACAAGCTCCTTACCTGAGTAGTTTTCATCCTATCATCTTTTTCATAGTATTCTAGCAGCATATGAGAGCAAAATTTGTCCCAGTCAACATAACCTTCCTTTCCCACATCAACTTTGTTAAACAGATCTTCATATTCTTCTCTTGAACCTTTGTTGAGCACAATGGAGAGAATTTCACAGAACTGATTCACATCCAGGCTGAGTTCACGTTCGTGGCCTGATTGGTTTATCTAAAGTAATCACAAAAATTAGAGTCCAGGTTTTGCATTTATTTGTGCTTCTGGGCCGTGCTGTTTACAGGGTGGAAAAAAATCCTATCCAGTTGATAAGTGCTCAAAAAATGTACTGTACTAACCACCAAATAGACATATCCACCCTTTAGTAAACTAGAGTCTGGATTTCAGGCTATGCATCAGAAACTGATAGACTTTGGATATGGAGAGTTATAAAAAAATACAATTTCGCACATACAAAGCATTATTCTACTATTTCATATGATATAACAAAATAACCCGTACCATGAAAGCATCCTGGACTGCTTTCAAGTCGTGCATTGTCAGCCTGTTGACCAGTTTATAACCACCATTGAATGTTGTCATCTTTAGATCAATTTTCCTGTGTAAGAGTATACAATAAATTTATATTGTTATCAATAAAGTAGATAATTATACATACTAACTTCACTTAAATTGTAAGAT